CAAGTTCACAGAAGAAGTTGGGGATTTCCAGGTCCCTGCAGAAGGACAGCCGCAGCACCATCAGACTGTGGAGCAGGGCATTCCCGGTGCTGAGGAGCAGACAGAGCAGAATCAGCATAGCACAGGGGCGGGGGGTCATGATGACAGTGTACCTCAGTGGATGGCAGATGGCCACATAGCGGTCATAGGCCATTGCTGCAAGGACACAGTTTTCAAAACAAACAAAAAATACGACAAAGCCAATCTGTACAATGCAGCCAATGTAGCTAATGTGCTGATTCTCTCTGTTAATATTCACCAGCATCTGGGGGTCTGTCGTTGTGCTTATACAGATGTCAGTAAAAGACAGGATGCAGAGGAAGAAGTACATGGGGGAGTGGAGGTGGGGGTCAGAGCTGACAGCCAGGATGATGAGCAGGTTCCCCAGGACTGTGACCAGGTACACGGACAGGAACAGCCCGAAGAGGAATGGTTGCAGTTCTGGATCATCTGTCAATCCCAGAAAGAGGAATTCTGGAACATCTGTGTGATTCATGTTCTTGATGAATCTGATGTGAAAGAGGTAGTGAAAAAAGAAAATAGTTCCTGGTCTAACAGCAGCAATATCCACTGGGAAAATTTCCTGTGCCTAAACTCAGGGTTGAGGACTGGAAATGTATGTTTGAACAAGTCTTCTAGGTGAATTTGAGACATGCTAATATTTGAGAATCATTGCTTAAGTCAAAACAAACCTCTATGTATATTGTGAACGCAGATGAATATTCAGATCTGTCCCTCTGCTAATTTCTCCTCCATCACCATCTCTCACACTATTTCTTTCCTGTCTTCCTGTTACTGATCCAAAATTTTAGAGATCACAAAATCCATTTTACACATTGTGCCAACTGCTGAGACTGGCACCAAGAATAAGACATGGCATTTCCTTTAGAAATATCCCATGCCTTCCAACAAACAGAAGGACAAGAATAATGTTATGACATCTGCATCTAGAACAATGGTCCCCAATAGTTGGCATTCCGCAAAATCATCTGTAGTTCTGGTCACATTACAGATGCCTTAGTACATGGTATGATCCCATTTACCCATGAGGACACTTGGGTAAGTTGAGGCAAGGTCATGGACAGGAAGTATGGTCGGTGCATGGTAAAGACTGGGTCTCAGACTAGACGACATGTCT